CCAGGTATGCATACAGAAGGAACTGGGTGCATCTGGCATGTGACTTCAGATTAGCTGCTACAGGTTAGCATGGAGCTAATTCTACCTAAGGTAGCTAAAATTTGGACCTCATAAAAATACATTTAACCCACATCTAGAGTTGAAACACAGATTTACCATCTTAACTGGCTTTGCAGTAAGCTCACCAAATGAAGCCAGAGCGTGTGTTTTATGTTGGAAATAGACATTTTCCCTACCTCCTCAGTTGTAAATAACACCGTGTTCCAAGGCCATAAATAATAGTGTCACTCAACCATGCCCCATTCTCATGTCCTCTACTTGCTCTCTCCACAGGCCTCTAGTACTGCCTAGCCAGGGGCCCCCGGCCTTGTGCCGCACCTTCACACACTCACAATCAAGGAACGGCCATAAAATGCCCATGGAATGTATCTGCAGAGTTAGACAGTTAAGTGGTGGAAAGACATGATCACAAACTAGGAGACTTCATAATGGATGTTCTGGGAACAGATATTAGTGGGCTCCCCATGTTCTTGATAACAAAATACATCACACATGTACATAGGGACATGAAAGTACAAATGTGTGCACACAGACAGGCAAATGCACGCACACATGCACACACTGCACTTAGGGGCAGACAGTATTGATGGTTCCCTCGGGCATCACACGGACGCATCTGTTTCTGTCCCACTGACTCTCCACACTCATAATTTCAAGTAAGTCATAACACAAATTATAAACACACATCCCTCAACCGTGACGCCTAGGAATAACAAAATGGAGTGTGCTGAGCTGATTTAGGGTAGGCAGGGACTCTTAAATCTTTACCTTTGCTCCTTTCTTCCCTTCCTCCTTTCCTTTTCTTCCACTTTTTCTTTCTTATGCAGCACAGGTGGCAGTCACTCTTGTCAAACACATACTTCCCTCTCGTCTATTGCCTTCATCTCTTGCCATCTCTTTTTATTTTATTCTTGACCTGCTCTCTCTCCTCCCTCACAGCCACAGCATACCTCTCCTAACATACTCTTTCTTTGAATTTGTTTTATGCAAATGGTCGCATGTGTGCTTATGCTCACTCTTGACCCCATCCTAACCCCTTGTCACCCAGAAATCTGTGTGACCTGCCAGTCTCCCACAGTCCTTCGACAGCAGCCCCACCTCAAAGGTGCCTTCACCAGGGTCTCCTCTCCTCATTTTTCATTCCTTTGTCCTGAATTATCTCCTTCAACCTAACTTCTCCTCTTCCACTCTTTGCATTCCTTTTTTTCTTTCCATATCGTCTCCGCTGACCCCCCCCCCCCTTCCCCCCTCACCTCTCATCGCATGGTCATGTACTTTAGCCATCCATCTCCAACCTCTGTAGATCCAAATGTCTCAATACATCGCAGGGACCATGAAGGTTCTATTGGAATCACATGTTGTAGTCGAGCCGAGAATTTCACCCCTTATAAATAGGATGTCAGTCCAGCCTGTGCTTTTCTACAGAGCCTTGCATGCTCCCTCTATCCAACTCTTATGGTAGGGAATATGAGGAATATGAGATATATATAAATGCACAACAATTAATGCTTGCATCATGTTTACATTTGCCAGCCAAAATACTGTTAGAGAGTAGATAGAGTAGGAAAAAAATGAGATTTTTGACACCCTGGAGATCCAGCAGCCGGATTCATTTGTCCTTTTATTGGAGTGCCTTGTGACTTCTCAGTGTATGGGGTCTGACTTTTACGAAGACTTATTACAAGTTTGTCATGAAAAACCATTTCATTGTAGCCCTTTCGATCGGACAGGAAATGAAGATAATCCTTTGTTTGTCCAGGATACGCCAAGTCTTAGTTAAGCAGGGAGTGAGGCAAGAGGAGGGGAAAGAGAGAGGGTTCACCCACTAAAGATCAGCCAGCAGATACAGTACAGCATTTATCTTTGTGTGTGTATGTGTGTATGGGTTGTGTGTCTCTGATGGATGAGTCCTGTCTGCTAGATTCATGCACATTGCAAGTGTGTTCTACAACTAAGGCCAAATGGCCGCTCAAATTAGATGTGATTAAATGCTCCAGTGTGATTCAGGTTCAAAGACTGTTACTAATACTAATCAGCACACACGCAGACACACACACACACACACCATGAACACATAATCACTGATTGAGGATGTGGGAGACAACGTTTACAGGCTGGCTAATCATAATAATGTCCCCTTTTTTTTATTGTTTTAGGAAGACATCACTCAGCAGAATCCTGCGGTACCACTCACAGAGCACCCACAGGGAGACAGCGTTGTAATCTGCGGTGTTATTTTAGAGCCTGGAAGTGATTTAGCTTGCACTGAACCATGGCAGCCACTTTGGTTCAGACGTTTAATTCAGACGGGCTCAGAACGTCTCGAGGTCAATCTATAATTTTCAGTTGGGAAGTCTACCTGTATTAGTGATTACAGGTGAGATGTGACAGCCATGGCTTCACAGACCACAGCACGTATTTTGTTCATTAAAAGAGAACTTACAGTCATTACTTCTGAGTAAAGCTTTCTTGTTGAGGTTTACAATTGCTGCAATGCCACAGACAATGTCAAAAATGTCAGAATGTACAGCGACAACTTGTGTTTTGTGTGTGGCTTTTCTTTAGCTGGAGTAAAATGCGAGCGTGTCACTGCAACACTCGCTGGAATCAACAAACTATCACATCTTCACATCTTTATTTTTCTAACTAAGCAAACACCAAAATTGTGTCTTTCATCAGTTGATTCAGCAAATGCAACTTTGATGAATGGGAGTGTAATAACAATCCTGATGAAGTGACACCGTGGTTGTCAGATAGAGATGGATCTCTGTTTGGCTTTTTCAGATGAGTTCACAGATTAGATAAACCTCCCTTTCAAAACTGGGGTGGGGGTTAGTGCCCCTAACCTTTCACCACACTTTTTTACTCTAGTAAGTTGGTCCTGCACCTAATGCACCACTAAGACTGAGAAAAAATGTTGTCCCATTCCCAAATGGTGACTATGTTTTCCAGTTTAGTGTGCAATTATTCTGTGTGTATTCACATACTGACCTACAGAGACAACATTTTGTGTTTGCATGCAGTGCTAAAGGAGATAAGGAAAAGCGTTACTTTGAGACTAGCGGGATGTGGTCAGAGTTTCCATGTCTGGCAGTGTGGTGTAAAGATGGCCATCCTACGAGTGGGCTAGGGCTGTTAATCTGACACACTGTTTATGAACAGTGACACGCTGTGCCGCATTACTTGCCCATATATGACTCTGTGCATCACCTCTTCACTCTATTTAACACAGCCAAAGATAAAGTAATGAAACTGCAATTGCCATTGTGTCATGGTGTAAAATACTAAATTAATCATTAGGTTTGTTAGGCCGTGGATGTAAAACTGGACCATAAGAAGAGGGATTTAAAAATCAATTGCACTGTTATTAGATTTGTGGATTTTTTTTAATTTTTAGAATTCTTTCCCCATTTTACATTGTGATTGGCCAGGTCAAGCAGAATAAGCCTGAAGTTTATAGCACTTGCTCTGCTACAAGTACAATGTAAGTGTGTGTTCCCATTACAGTGCACATTAAAAGGAATAACAGTGAAGGTGTGGGGAGACGAAAAGTGTCACGTTGGTCCTGCTTCGTGATTAATGGTGTGATTAGCTGCTCCAATCCATGTCAGAACCCATGTGCATGCACACACAAATACATGCGCAGCATGCAAGCGCACACAAACACACAGAGGCCTATTAATGGTCTTGAATGGGAGAATCCAGATGCGGCATGCAGATAATTGTACTAAAAACACCAAATGTGGAGTCCCAGGGCAGCAGGACTTTATTCTGAGTTCAGCGTGTTTATTTTCGCAATTGAGTTATTTCTGCAGGGACTTAAATCATGGAATAAAAACACACCAATGCAGGTCAATTTTTAATTGAGTCCAAAGTGTATTTTGAACTCACCCTCCCTCCTCCTCTTCCTCTACCCCTCACCTCACACAAACCCACACATTACCTTACCCTCTTTATTTAATGCCCTCCTAGTTTCAAATGCGATTTAAGAGTCTGGAGTTTAGCAGAGTTATGTTTATCCAACGTAAAATATCATTAGTGCCTATACACTAGTTAGACAGCTTGACTTCTGCGATGGTCATTCAGATGGACTTTGTAGAGACAAAGAACCATACATACATTTTGTTACAGTTTACTGTACACAAAAAGGTGCATTTTATGTTTTTAATCAAATTTTGTGTGTCTGGTGACAGTGATGTTGGAGGTGTATGTGCTTGGCTTTCTATGAGAATATGTTTGTGCTTCTGCATGTGTTTACAAGATTTGGGGCGGATAGAATGTGTATTTGTCACCACATTGGATTTACGATATCCTGCTTAATGACGAGGCTAGTCATCACCAATCTGCTCCGAAGACTTACGCAAGGCATTCTCTTGAGACCTGTGGGTGTACATGTGTACGTCTGGTTGTGTGCCTATGATGAAGCTTGGTGGTTTGTGTCCTCTGCACCTGTAGACAGTCATTTGTTGCCACCCCCTTTATACACACACTCACAGACTCAAACACACACAATGTGGTAACCAGCGGTGACAGAAGAAAGATGTCATATCCTCTCAGCCTGCTCTATTAGTCTCCATTACATTATTACATGCCCATGAGTCACACTGAGGTACCACTAATACAGCACTTAGCAGACCACTTCAAAGATGTCTGTTTCTTTTCTGTGGAATCTCTGTCTGAGTTTAAGGAGCTCTGGAATAAGTGAGCTTGTTGTGACATCTGCATGTGTACAAGGGACCACAGCTGCAGATGTGGGTGCTGTGTATCCGTGTCCCTGCGTTGTCTCCCTGTCTATTTTCTGACTGTAAAAAATATTTTTACATTCCAACTTTCTGGAGAATAAATATGACCCATGTTTTAAATATTTTGTCCATTTGTGATAACATTCCCTCTTACTTCTTGCACCCTTCTTTCCACATTTCCTGGTCTCATCCCCACAGGCAGCAGGCTTTGCTGGCAGCCATCAGTGAGAAGGATGCTAACATCGCACTGCTGGAGTTATCCTCTTCCAAACGGAAGAAAGCCCAGGAGGAAGTGATGGCTCTGAAGAGGGAGAAAGACAGGCTCATGCACCAGCTCAAACAGCAGGTACATCAACCACACACGACCACCAAGCTATTTATACGTGCATATAAACAATGAATTACATTTACAGCTCTCCTGGTCTTAAGGCCCATTTATACTCCTGTGTAGGGTCTACGTGCGTACCTACGCCGTAGGCTACGCACGTAGCCATATATTTACTTGTGCGTAGGTGTGTCCGTCATTCTGCAATTACACCCCCAAACACTAGTCGGCATTAGCGCTACAGTGTCCACTTTGTTGACTTTTGCCAGCCAAGCAGGCTAACTTCTGGTTTAGCACTCCGCTAACGTAAATGGGGGTAAAATTGTATACGTGCGGCTGGTGTAGCCTTTTCAAATGTTACCGAGCCAATGGATCACATTCTGATAGCGAAACGAGTCATTTCGCTCGGGTTGCGACGGACAAATATATTGATTCACTGTGTTACAGCCACCGTTTTGGCCGCTAGTAAATGTTACTTCAAAGCGTGGGGTACTTCTGGTCAACGTCGAATCGACGCGTAGTTCCATTTTTGAGGAGGTGCACATCAGGCGATGCTTAGCTCTGCGTAGCCCCGTAGCCTATGCCGTTGATTCGACACAGAAGTATAAGTTACACTTTAGTGGTTGACTGGCCTGCACATGAATCAAATGGAGCCTGGCCTTGCGGTCGCCGTTTAGGACCGATTCTGGCGTTGTGAATCAAAGAAGGAGTCCAAATTCAAACCTGCTGCAGATGGTGAAACCCTACCTGCACTAAAACAGCCTACTGGGCAGACTTTTAACTTTAAAACCAGGAACAGATAGGTTAATAATTCCTGGTAGTTAACAGAGTAGACTTCCCCGCCTCAAAACACACTACTGCGTTCAGTCATCATAAGCCAAACCAGTCAAGTAGGAGCTGTGATTTCAAATCCAGCCACACAAACACATGATGAAAGCTATTCTCCTAACAATCATGTTGCAATCGGAGTTATTAGCTGCACTCAAGTCGCAGACGTAGTTTGGTATCATCGGTGAGTCACCGGCGGACTTTTCTGTCTGACATCTTCTGGTCAAACAGACAAAAATCTCAGCGCACACTCACACACATACCTACGCACACATACACACACCTATTTCCCATGTTGCTCTGGTTCTCAATAAAACCTTAAGGCTGATGAAGGTATGTGGGTCATTAAGGTTTGGTCAGACCACATCAGTGACTGAGCTAACGTGAATGCTAAAGATAATGAGCCAACAGCAGGGTGTCCACATATACGGTCTCCTGAGTCACAGGGGCTTCTGGGAAACATGGTGCATTTAAAAGTCAACAGATGCAGTGGCTGGGTGTGCATTCAAGTGCGAACCTATGTTTGTTCGTGTCTTGTAAACGATAAACAGTTCCTAGGGGGTGCAATTCTATTTGAGGAATTTCAAGGAAAGCCTATTATCTGTTTATCGCCATTGGATGCGTCATGTTTTCCCCGTTGGGTAACCAGCAGTTACCGTCCACCTGATGATGTGATGAGCTCTAATTGCATCGATGTGGCCGCTGGGCCTGGAGCAGAGGAGAGGAGAAAAAAAAGGGAAAAAGAAAAGAAAGGAAGGGGCGGAAGATGAGAGGGGTGGGCAGCATATTCTTTCTTTGCCTCCACTTTCTTGTACAAGCAAACCTTGTTTCTTAAAATTGTCCTCAAGCACACATGCAAATAAATCCATTTAAGTACTGTCGCCAAGTGGAAAGATGTACCAGGCAGCGATATGGCCACCTAGCACTGGGGCCCTAAAACTGTGGGTCATCTATTAATGTTATGGAGGGTGTAAGGTAAGTAGCTCCTGCAGGGACTTTGCACTACTTGGGTTCCTTCCATTCTGCAGAATGAGCTCTCTGGGGATTATGTTGTTCGACATGACACACACCGGCTCTCTGTCTTCTGACCCACTGACACACATATCAGGATATTTTGCCTTCCTCAGGTCCTCAACAGCCAATGGCGGAAGGAAACTCACCAGGAAATGCCAAAGAATTATGGGACTCAGAGTCTCATAGGAGAAAGCTGATCTGTAGACAGCAGATAGATTTACAGATAGCAGTGCCCTGCCTGACCTCCCCACATCCCTCTTTTAGAAGATCTAGTGTGTGTGTATGCACAATGACGGCGGTCTAAGACAAACTTTCCTTTCTCAGACAGTTTGCTTCCCTTTGAGGCATAGACCTTCTTCAGCAAAGACAAACACACATATACAAAGACACAGCCGCTCACACACAGACATACACATGAAGAGTGTAGTGTTTAGACTTCTTGTGGAGAGAGTCAGAACAAATGTGTCCCCGTGTGGGAATTCTTTGAGTGGTCCCATCCTAGTGATGGATGACCAAACATCACTGGTGCCTTAAAGCCCAGAAAAGATGAATTTGGAAATCCCCAGAGGTGAGCCATTTTCTGTGACTTTTCCTCATTTCCCCCCTCTTCCTCTCTTTTTTGGACACACTTGAGCATCCATCCTCTCTCTATGCTAAAAAGATGGATTTTGTGATCTCAGAGGTGTGCCATTCAGAACTGCTTATCTGCCTGCTTAGAGCGGCGATACCATTTTGCATGGATAGATCACACAAACACACACAGAGACCTGATCAAAGGAGGTTGTGAAAACTGTGCAGCCTTACCCCAGCTGTCTGTTTGTTTAAGGCCTTTCTTGTCAGGCCTCCTGTGTCCATATGTGTTAATACAGCTCTGTTCTAATCAGGCCAGGCTTGAGATTTACAGAGGGCTTGGATTGAAGTTCGGGATGCAGCTGTGAGCACAGCAGCGGGATCATCACTGCCATGTTTACACCACCAGCTGCACTTTGATACACATGCAGAGACCACTCACTGCACACATACAGTATAGGCCTAAATCTGTTAAGGTTATAGATGTCAATGCTCTCCTCTCTCCTTTCCTCTCCTTCACCAGTAGTGCCACCTGTGTCTATTCTAGGCTGCCTGATCTAAAAGCAGGCCTGGAGGCCATTACAGAGCTGTTTACTCTGCAGAGCCCCTAATTAACACTAATTAAAACACACACATTCCATGTTATATGCGCACACCTTCTTTACACATGCGCACCGGGATATGTCTATAAGAAGAGTGTGAATGTGTGTGTGTGTGTGTGTGTGTGTGTGTGTGTGTGTGTCTGTTTGAATAATCTGCATGGCCACATGTGGCCTGTCCTGACCACACAGTCAGACTCTTCCAGAAGCAATTCATCACTTCATTCATCTGTGTTCGTGTCTCAGGTCATTAAATATTAACTACGTGCACACACACACACACGCACACACATATTCTAGGACGTTTGGCTTCTCATCCTACCTAATATGGCTGTAATTAGATGAACAGGAACAAGCAATGTGGTTCTTGTTAGATTAGCAGCGAGGACTAAACACACATTAGCCTTTTGGACCCTTGGCCACTAATTCGTTTTGAAAATATTTCTCTATGAGATTCAAACAGCATTATTAAGTACTGCGGAAGAATCTAAGTGGAAGCACCTACAGCATGTACTGTGCAACAGGACAGTGGTTTCGTCAGCTGCATTGTATATGATAGTAATTGACTATTCTCAATGACAGGTGTCAGCTCTGTAACTGTTGCATTGAAGCCAGCCCCACCCAGTCACACCTGCTAGTGTCAACACCTGAGGTCAAGGAGGGCCGTACACCTCAGCCTAGCCTTTAACTGCTCTAACCACTGGTCTGGTGTCTGTCTGAGCCTTTCTCCGTCCCACACTCTTCTTCTTGATCTCTGTCTCTCTCTCTGTCTCTCTCTCTCTCCGTCCCTCTCACCACAGTGTCAATGTTCTCACCTTATCTAAGCAGCTCTTCTCCAATTTAAGCTAATTGCTAACCTCTTTAATTCTAGCCACATCCTCTCCTGTGATCCTGACTGGCTCGTTTCCTCAGTCATTAGGCTTCAGCTCCTTATCTCAGCAGTGATGTCCCCAGGCCACTGACTACTGTAACTCCACTCCCCCCCTCCATCTTCACAGCTGACTCAGGCTTTTTGTGTCTTCCTCCCATGGCTGTCTCTCATTTAAACCAGGAAAGCCGCAACATTTTGGATGAGAGACGTGTGCATAGCTTTCCTTGGAATCATCTTCATCCCATGCGCAATCCCACCTCCCCGCTCTGCAGTCATGTCCGCCCTCAGGGGAAGTATCTCCAGTTAAGGGAATAAAGCCGAGCCTGTCAATATATCTGCACCCACTCTGTCTCTGTCTATCTCCCAGACAGCGGGCCTCACTGGAGTTAAGCTGATTGTTAACGTTAGTCATGTTATCTCTCTCCAAAGCAATGATGTTGGCAGGATGACAGCCTCTTCCACAGAATACACACAGACGCACAAACAAAGGACACATAGTCTTACTTACCCATTTACAGGCATGCACAAAGATGCATATTTGAGTGTAATTTTAATCAATGACATCTAAAATGAGGTTGCTTCAGAACGCCAGGACGCCTGTGGCCTTAAGCTAGGCAAAACACTCACTAACTGTTCTGACTAAGATTCGTCTAATCTAATTAAATGATAATCTGCAAATATGGATGACATTTGACAGACTTACAATGTTTTCATCAGGCACTCCGACTCACTCAATTTATGACCTGTCAAGTGTTGTTAGCGGCACTGTTTTTATCATCTTTGATGGCTTTCAACATGCTTTCCCCCCATCCAAGAATCCCTCAGCCTAATCATTCTAAGACCCCGAGAACATTTTAAAGAAACAAATAAGCAGTGTTTAGGGAAATAAATGGCTTAGTGTATGCGTGTTATAATTATGTATCATAAATTTTCTTGTTTATCTCCTTTTTTTTGCAGACTCAGAGCAGAATGAAGCTGATAGCGGATAACTACGAGGAAGATCACATACACCCCCAACATCATCCTCACCATTCTTACCACTTGCATCCAGGAAACGTGCATCACCGAAGTCTGCCGAGAGGGCCCCACCACGCCAACCACCGACCCCCTATGGACCAGGTCGTCCGCACCAACCATTTTTAAAGCTTGGGCTTGTTCTCACAAGTAGACGTTGTCTACTAGATGTTGTGGGCTCTCATCTTCTTGCTTTTAAAGTTGATGGAGTTTCACATTTGTCATCTCCACCACCAGTCAGTTGGGGTTAGATATAAAATATTTTCCCTCTCTCTTCTGCCTCACCTTCATTACTTCATATCGTTTAGATAAGCAGCCTGAAGGGGAAAAGCTGCCAAATCAGTGTTTTTGATCAGTGGGCTTTGTGTGTAAGATAAGTTTATATATTGCTCATCTCTCATACGAGCTCCTTCTCTCTTCATATCCAGACTGTCCTGAGGACAAACGTAATGAGTCTGTTTGAAGACAGCTGAAGAAGAACAAACTTTTGCTGCTGTCAGCACAAAGCGTTTGTGTGAGCATGCATGCTGTAGGTGTGTGCATGCCTGAATGTGTGCGTGTGTAGATGCACATGGCGATGCACACCTGAGTCTTTGTTGATACTGTGTACCCAGATGAAATCGCCAACGGGAGAAATCTATCTTAAAAGAAACAGAGATGATTTCATGAATTTAAACTCATCACAACTCTATTGTTGTGAAGAGGTTGTGATTGGGGGGATTCCAAGCTGTGAAGATGAAGTATGTGTGCGCGTATGTGTGTTTTGAGGTTTAAGACGAATACCTGGGGATTTCCACCTGAGTCTAAGTCCCCACATCTGTTCTATTTGATATGCACCATTACATGTTTTTAGACTTTAGAAATGTTTCTGAAACTGCTGTCTAAATTGGGAGTTAAACATGCACTGTGGTTCCCCTGTCCTTAATACCTCCCCAACACACGCACATGCATACAAACACACAGTCATCTCCATGCATCACGCCACACTTACCTTGGCAATATGTAAGAGGACGGGATAGCTGGTTTTAATATTATTTTAGCCTTTTTACGCCTGTGGAAAGATTTTTGATTCCTAAAAGAATGTGAGCGTCTGGAGTTGATTGACATCTATATGCACACTTTTCACTCAGAATCTCAGACACACTTGAGTTATATATTACAGTAGGGCATATTTTTACTTGAACATTTCCATCCTTTTCAACTACAGAATGAATCTACATCTAATTTTGAAGATTTTTGTGGCATTATGCTTAATATAATGCTATAATATTTGGAAGTTCAGAGTGGGGAAAAGAATGATATGAAACATAGTTTATCCTTTGAAACCACCCCGTAATCCCACAAGGACCACTTTTGAGTTCTAGCTGTGTAGTTATTAGGTTATGTTATGTTATGTTTTTCATCTGACTTGCTAAAATAATATTATTAAGCTATCAAGTCTCCACATTGTTCTATTGTATTGCAGAATACTTGCAACCACGGTAGGCCTCATATTAAACTGTGAGCTGCAGGGGGTCAATTTTTAGTATCACACATTACTCTCCTTCACTTTGCACTTATAAATATCGTTCCTTCATTATGGCTATCCAGCACTATTTTACTGCAGCAGTGTTTATAGTTTTTGACATATGAAACAGTAGCTCTCTGCAAATGATATTTAAACTTTTCAAGTTGGACTGAAAAACACCAGCAAAGAAAGTATATTAGGGTTGCTGGGAAATCTTGTTAAGAATGTGGGGGAAAAACAAAATAACTCATAAATCTGGGCCGATTGGCTGAATTATACTTTCTATTAAAGTTGATTTTTATGTCCATAAAAGGGAACTGTGATGGCTCACACTTTGTATGCAACATTTGAGGGAGAAAGTCGAATATGTTTTAAAAGGGGGCAAAATAGAAATACATTAAATGTAGGTTAGATAAAAGACAATGACCACTCAATTTGCAAATTGCATAGATTTAGCTAGGTCCGTTAACACAACGCATATGAATATGTGTTATCAATATGTCATCATCCCCTTCTGTTCACAAGCTATAGCCAAACTGATATTTATTTAGCTAAGATCTTTCTCCATTCTTGTGTGAAGCACACACGCTTCAAAAACAAAAGACCCTGTTGACAGAGGTCAGCCAATCACCCTGTGGCTTTTCCTCATATCTGATTTTTGACCCTAATGGGAAAATACGGCAAAGGTCAGGGTAAGGCCTCCAAGGTGTGTGTGTGTGTGTGTGTGTGTGTGTGTGTGTGTGTGTGTGTCTCTGCATGTGTGTGTGCTGTGCACTGTTGATGGGTGATGATGTCGGGTCACACAGTCTGGATGTCACTGACTGTTTTCCCTCTCCTTTAATCTCCCTCTTTCAAATGTGATTAATTACTGTTTGTTTTTCTTGAACACTTTGTTCTATCTCAACTCTAGTTTCTTTCACGTTACCTCTTCTCTTCCTTTCTCTTCTTTTTTACTATGCTTTTGCCACAATTTTTTTTTTTTTAAATCATTTCTCTACCGTCTTGACATTACTTTTCTTCCTGGTGTATTTTCTTCCCACCCACATTCTTTCTCTCCATGCCTCCTTGTCTCTTTCATTCTTTCCTTTGGTCCCTTCTGTCCCTCCATCTTTCCCATTTCAAATGTAATATCCAAGTGCGGCCAGGCCAGTGGTTCAGTGCATTGCCGGGTCCAGGAACGCCACTCGAAGGATGATTGATGATGATAATGATAATGATGATGAAGAGGGTCTGCACGCTCACCCTGGAGACCGCAGTGCCTTTCCAAGATACAGCTAGTGCCATGAATAACATAACAGTGACCACACATGCAATTTTTTTTGTTTGCATTTGCATTTGCTCAAACACATGCACACCCAACTGGCACATTAAAGACACGTAAGCACAAATGCATGCACTGGAATAGTGGACACACAAGCACAAGAACCTATTTCAAGGATTTCCAAGGAGCCAACCCTCATGTCATTCAAAGATCATGCTACAGTTAGTGTGTCCATCCCAATCCTATAACTATACTCCCTGTCCTCTACTTAATCTGTGAAGGACAGGTGAAATCTAATCAGAGGAGACAAGCACAGGAAGTGGATTTAGCCTCTTGAGATGCACACCAGGTCTGTGTCTCAGCGTGAAGTGTGTGCAGTTTGACGGGCATGTTGTGTTCATGTTGTTCTCATTTAGCCGTGCCAGCACCACTGCCAGATACTTGGCAGCAGCCTCGGAAGGAAATAGAAAACAGCCATAAAGTGTTTATCAGAGACAGAATTATACAACCTTTTTCTTTTAGGTTGTTGTTCTTTTTTTTCTCCAAGCCTAAACATGCTGCCTGCTTCAGGTTTATGAGAAGTAGCACATGGTATTTGGCCTGTTTGTGTCTCTGGGTGTATGTGTGTGTGTGTGAGTGTGTGTGTGTGTGTGTGTATGTGTGTGTGTTTAACCTGGCAGAATCAGTGGTTATAGGTCTGGCTCTGTTTACAGGGCCTGTCACAGCCATTCACTGCATGTTAGCATTTAGCATCGAGCATGTTCCATTGAAAGGCCATTATATCTATAGCTTAGCTGCTTAGGTGTTGCCTACTGAGTTTACTGAGCCTGTCACAACCATTCAGTCCAACCAAAGCCACTGTGGACTGCAGCCAAGGCCCTCGTGTTTTTCGTTCGTGTGTAGCGTTAGCATAGACTCTGCTTTGCCGAAGCCTAGTTTAGCATTATGCAGGCAAGAGCTTGGCTATAGTGAGCTGCCAGCTCATGCTAACCATTGTAATGTTAATGTCTGAGTGAATTAGCCTTCTTGTTAGCAGGGCTCTTGCCTGCACAGTTTCAGCCCTAAGGAAACCCCTTGTGTGTTTAGTTATTGGTTCCTAACAATCACATTGAGGAAAGCATTTCATGATATCATACACAGCTTTTCTGAATGAGGAACATGAACAGGATTGTTTTGATTAAAAGCCACAGGGGGTTTGGAGGAATATAAGGTTAGGCAATGAGACTGTACTTGTAAAGAAATAATCACTGAGTTTGTACAGTAAGTAGTTTGGTCTAAAAGGAAGCCGTTTTCAGCCACATATATGCAGTTTTTGGAGACTTTTGACATAAAATATCATTTAAACTGACGGTTAATGACGATAATGATAATAATAATGATGATTGTTTTTCCTCACAGGATGATGAAGAGGGAATATGGGCATGATGACCATCGCCATGGTAACCCTGCAACCATTTGTCCACAGTGAGTTATCGTTACATTTTTCTACTAATTTTAGAGATAATGTACTCCTTGCAATGGTGTAGTGCTGTATTTCCGCTCCGGATATGTTAATGATCTTCTACACAATAGGCTTCCTCAGTGGGCTCAAATAACCATTAGCCCGGGAACATTGATGGTACCACAATAACCACAGCATTACCCAACTCTGACACAAGAGAGTGTAATAGAATCCGGCTCCTTTTCCCATTGCTTATGAATTTCAGTCGGCTAAAGAGCCTCAGTTTATTCAGAGGTTTATGGCTGCCTTTCTGTGAAGTGCTCACATGCTGGTTGTGCCGCGTGCTGTGTGTGCACTCTGTGGCTATATAGGTAACTGTGTGGTATTAGACCTTTATACACCCAGCAGCCTAAAGCAAGCGTACCAGGGCCCGCAGGTGATAAAAACGACACAGTGAGAAAAACCAGAGATGGACAAGTCTGTCTCTCCGCACCCCACTTTCTCAGTCGTAGTAAAGTTTTACCGCGCTACCCCACCCTGTTGTGTGCCAGTGTGTGGGGTAGTTAATTACAATAGAACACAGAACAGTCATGAAGCATTTTTTTTAAGGCTGTAAGCTGAAAAAGCATAAAATGAAGAATGCAGAGTCATAAACGATAATTCCTGTTTTGGGGCTTTTATATCGAAGCCCCCCATAGACTCAGGATGCCTTTGAACACAGACATGCGGAAAGAGGTCTGTGCAGGGAGGGTCATGGTTTGCTTGGAGCTAATAGGTGTGTGTGTGAGACAAAGAGAGATTTAGAAATGTGAGATAGATAGATGAGATATAGATGGGAAAAGAGAGGGAAAGGGAAACTGTGCTTATGTATTTATGTGGGAACAAGAGAGAAAACCAGGCAGCATGGTATACTCATAGTTTCCAGTGCATCTCATTCTTTTCCTCCAGTAATCCACAGGTGGACCATCACAAGTAGATTCTGTCTCTAACCTCAATGACTTAGTAGTTGTGCACTTTGCCCTACTGCTGCTTTTGGGATTAAGAGTCCTAAAGCTTGTGTGTGAGCAAATGGTTGGTCTTCCTGCAGCGCAAAGCAAAGCTTTAACTGTGTTTAGCAATGATGTTTGTGTGTGTGTGTGTGTGTGTGTGTGTGTGTGTGTGTGTGTGTTTGTGTGTGTGTGTTTGTGCGTGTGTGTGTGCAAGAGAGCGTTGTTGAGCTATACAGTGCCGGAGCAGCCCACATAGCCTATAATCCAGTCCATGTGTGCTGAGAATGCAGCAGTGTCAGGATTCACCGTAATGAAACAGACCACACTGCCCCCTTTCTCCCTCTCTTTCCATCTCTCCATCTTTTTCCATCACTCCTGTTCTTTCCACCACTCTCCAGATTTCAGCTTGCCCTGCTCTAACATATATTCCTTCAAGGTAAACCTAGACTTGCATCCGTGACCGGCCTACTGCTTCGGTATCTCCAATCAGATATCATGATGGTGTGTGTATGCACGTGTGTGTGTATGCATGTGTGTATTAGTGCTTCTTATCCCAATCTAATAGAATAAGCCAGGCACATTAGCCTTTAGCACAGAGTGGTGTTGTGGCTAGCGATATCAGTGCTGCTCATCTATCCACTGCTGTTATTCTGGCAGTGTGCAATGCGAGCGCAGCTAACATGTATTAGCCGTCCTGTATGTGAGAACAGATGGGAGCCATTTAGCGGTGTGTAGCTACAGCACAATAAGGCCAGACCTAATCCCCATATCCTGTCCCTGAGTGAGCCCTCTCTAATATGAGCAAACAGAGATGACAGCACCGATAGACAAATAGCCTGGGATCTGCGTGTACGTGTGTGTATCGGTGCCTTTGCAGGCATGTATACTAGCTTTGATTGGTGTTTCTTATGGATAACCTTGACTCCCAGTGCTAGGCTACATTTTGAATTCCACACAACCATAAGTGCTGAGTTTGAGTTGGCAAGTTCGAGTTCTGAGCGTCCAGGTGTGGATTTGTATTGGTTAGCTATGGTTCTGTCTAAAAGGACACTGGGCTCTGATTGGCTCACTGTGGTTGTGTATGTCCTGCTGTTGATTACAGAGGTTTTGTTTACCCTCTTGGCCTCCCAGACCCCCTCTAATGAAATAAGAATGTCCTTTTGGACAGAGAGCACAAGAGAAGGGGGTTGGAGGAAAAAGTGAAGGAGAACATGGGGCCAAAAGAGTGAAGCAAAGTGGGGGGAAGAGGTTTTTTGGAAACATTATGCTTTTATCCCACCGTGAAGTTATTTGTACTGAATGAAGCGAAAAGAAGCTGAGAGGCTTTCCAAGTAGGGACAGAAATGTTTGTGTGTGTGTGTGTGTGTGTGTGTGTGTGTGTGTGTGTGTGTGTCTGAGTCTGTGTGTCTGTATGTGCATGCACGAAGGAGTGAGGTCTTGTTCAGGTTAAAACAAGTCAAAAAGATGGCTTTCATTTGCTCATGCTGTGTTTGTATGTCTACATTGTGTACTGTATGTAGTGTAGTGTGATGTAGTAAGTACCCCACTCTTGTGTGGATGTGGCTTAAGCAATTCTAGAAAAGGGAGGAAAGTTCAGTGGGAAACTAAAATAGGGTGGCAGGTTCTTAATCCCATTTGTTATTAAAACAATTTAGGTTAATTGTTACAGAAATGTTTGTGCCAGAACAGGCCTCAAAACTGACCCGACAACATATGAATCTCATGAACCCAAACTACAGCAACCATGAAAGCAAAGCAAGCAGGAAACTGTGAATTTGGTTGACCAAACGATAGATCCCCCCACACACAGCTATCTGTGGGAGGCCCCTGGTGGCCCCTCTTCTGGCTGTTGTGACTTTTGTGGGGAACCTAGTACATATAACTCCTCTATGAGGTGCTCGTCCTGTTGATCATACATAGATTTCATTCAGGATTTATCCTGATAAATCTGAACTTGATTACATTTCTTACTGCATACCATGCTGAAGAATACATATTTTAAAAGTAATCATAAATCCTATAGAAGTTTTTTTTTCTCTCTGAGGGTTTTGACTGAAATAAAAAAATGAAATGTAGACTTCATAGAATTTGTATTTCTGTAAAGTTTTATGAAAGTCAGAATGTAGGTGGTTTTGTCACATCACATCCTCACTGCTAAACTCATTCATGTCTGTAGACATACCAGGTCGTGGACATATTTGACTGAGGGACATACTGTAAGTTCTTCTTGTTATTGCCCGGCCCTCTGACATTTATTTGTTTTTTGCTGTTTTAGTACTTAGTACTAAATTTATTTACCTATACATGTACTCATTTGGCAGACACTTTTATCTGAAACGACTTACTTTTGAAGAACATACTAGCATTAACAAAGTAAGAGATCTACAAGTGACAGTATATACTAGTAAGAACTATGCGCATACGGCATCAATGGGATAAATACCTAGGGGATGAAGTAAGAGTTAACAAATAGTGCAACCAATACAAGAGAACTGTAAGGAGATAGAAGAAGAAGAGCACAGGAAGTGCATGTTACAGGTTAGGGGTTAGAGGTGTTATATATATATATCGTTTCCACAACACCCTGAAAAGATTTTTCCACAAATGTTTAATTTTATAATTGATTAAGTTAGATAACAATGCGTATGTTTTATTGTTGCACAATATATTTGACATATATTTGTACACAAAATTATACAAATTGGGGTCTTTTTTCAGATAGTTAGTTCCACTGATCTACAGACTACAAGGGCTAAGCCACTGCAAAAATGGATGGAAAGAAACCAAAATCTGGTGCACAGAAGTGTCAAGGCAGAGAAGTTTTGTCATTTGTTCTTATAATCATTGGCAGGTTTGCCAATATGACACAGAGAAGGTTGGACTTCTAAAACTGGACATTTATTTCTATTTGTTTGTTGTCTAATTCATTATTATCAATGATTCCTGATTTAAATCTAAATAAGTAGAAAAATATATTTTTGTTTCTCTGTGTTGTGACAGGAACAGAGAAATAGTTTAGTGTGGTGGATTTGTGGCTGCAGAACTGTTCCACTAATCTTAGTTTAAAGGATTAACTGGCAACATAGCTGCCTATGCATAGCTAACATTTTGTCCATAAAGTAGTCAAATAGTTTACAATGAGGATGTTTTTTTTTTTTTTTTTGTGGCTGTTTATTGATAAAGTATGTGTGCGCTCTCCTTGGTACTGAAGTTATGTTGTTTCCATTTGGCAGATTTTTGTGTGGATTATTGCCTTAGCTTCTAGGCCTCTTGTGTCTCTGTAAACTAGTAGTAAAGGCTGGTAACACTGGGCTGTGTATGGTGATCCTGATGTGGGTGTCTTATGAATATTCTTGCCCTGTTCAGCTTTGGCACTGGCAGACAAATCTCTCTTCAGTTATCTGTAGATCCTCTGGACAGGATACACAAACTGACAGTCACATACTGATATCATACTGTATGAGAGAAATATAAGAAATTCACTGTTGAGTAGCTACAAAAGCAATCTAAAATGATGTTGGGTACAACACAAGGTGTAAATATACCAGCAAAATCATATGTTCCTATATGAATATTTTACAGTGACATTAGAAATTGTGAACCAGAACGTGGTACTTTAAGTAGTAAGCATTTTCATCTCTTTGTAAGTTACTTAACTGTTCAGCAATATTATATTTATTTATACAGGGCTTAAAATGATAAACCATGAACTAGTGCTCCATTTTCTTTATGATTCAGAAGGTATACTTTTGACAATTTCTATACTGTGTTTCACAATATTTCTGATTATATTATTCAGTGACCCACAAAGTCCAGCAAACAAAACTCCACCCTCCTTCAACCAGTGGCCCTGCCCCTGCCTGCAGCGGTTGGTTACTCTTTTTTGTGTTCTCTCAGGTTGATTATGAAACCTCTAAACCAAACACTCTCACAGTGCAGATAATTGTTATCGGAATATAAAAATATGTCAGTATTGACTGTGGGAAATGACATAACCTTTCAGCGTCCACAATTTGACAATTATAATAATAGCA